CAAAAATATAAATTTAAAACTAATTTCTTCACTTCCATTAAATGAAGGGTATATGTGAGCTCATTTTATAACGATAGGGGTATATGTGAGTCATTTTCATAATAAGAGACATATCAGCTTCAAATGACAAAGTTGAGGGATATATCATACCCTTTTTCTCTTTATTTTTTACATTCTTAAACATTGTGTTATTTGTGTACAACTAAATCAAAGACATATTAAATGAACTGATTGAGATATGACATTTTTTTGTACTTTAGCTCGTTTCAATCTGTATTGTTTTTTACTCAAAGTGCAATTGATATTTTTGTTCATTTAAATTGTTTGACAGATTTGAGAATTAATTTAATAGGAGAGAGGAGATCTTATTTAAATGTGAAGAGGAAAGAGTAACGAGAGTGAACAATTAACCACAGTAGGTTATCTACAACATTTATTTGTTATTGGGACAGGTGTTGCAATTTCAACGGCCCACTGGAGGAAATGGAGGGATCAACTACCGGAGGTGATCCGCTCTACAAAAAGAGCAAGAAAATCGCAAGACTTTGACACTTTCTCTTTGAGAGCATAGACACTATCATGACACCCATCAACTCATAGGTCACCATAATTATTACCTCATTTAACACCTAAGTTTTTCTCTTTTCTTTTACTTGTAGGATGTGCTCAAAATATATTTAATAAAATAAACATTGTTTTTATTTATATTTTTCTCTTTGATTCACAAAAAATATATTTTATATATAATCTAGAAAAAATACAATAAAAGGTAGGGATGTGAAAATAGGGGATACGACATAAGTGAACAAGAGTTTTTAGTTTATGAGTTTTGAATTAAAATTTATTTATAATTGTTATAAATCTGTAACTCAAATGCTGGCTCCATCCCTATGTTACGAAAATGAGTGAAGATAAAGTGTGTTAAAATAACACAATTAAATATGAAATGTTATTTGAGAACTTTTTTTTTTTAGTTGTCAAAAATATTGACCAACCAATACGATAAAATTTAAAAAATTCGTACCAAACACATCCTATTACTACTATACATTTTTCATCACTCCTACAAAGAACACCATTCTTTCTTCTTACTTCTGCTACTACATTTCTCTCTGCTATGAATTTCTAGCAGTTCTTGGTTCTTGCGCCATATTCAGCTAAAACAAGTAGGCACTGCCCATTTCAGTTGGCTAGTTCAATTTCAGTTTCACTGTCAAATTTGACAATGGTGTTGTTAATCATCTTCATAATTCATGTTTTCATGTTTGTAACAGCTTCGTCGGATCTTAGTTCCGACCGTGCTGCACTTTTAGCTTTTCGCTCCGCCGTGGGTGGCCGTACATTTCTCTGGAACACCACCAGTACCTCCCCATGCAACTGGGCTGGTGTACAATGTGAAAACAACCGTGTTACAGTTCTCCGGCTACCGGCGTCAGCTCTCTCCGGTACCCTTCCGGTGAACACAATTTCCAACCTCACTCGTCTTCGTACACTTAGTCTTCGACTCAATCGCCTTTCGGGTCCTCTCCCTTCTGATCTCTCAAAATGTGTTGAGCTCCGTAACATTTATCTCCAGGGTAACTTTTTTACCGGAGCTGTTTCTTCTTCCTTCTCTGGGCTTCACTCTTTAGTTCGGTTAAATCTCGCTGAAAACAATTTTTCTGGAGAAATTCCATCTGGGTTTAACAGTTTGACCCGATTGAGAACATTTCTACTTGAGAAAAACCAGTTTTCTGGGTTAATGCCTGAGCTAAAGTTTTTCCCAAATCTCGAACAGTTTAATGTGTCTTTCAATAGATTAAATGGGTCTATTCCGAAAAGTTTGGAGGTAATGCCAGTGAGTTCTTTTACTGGGAATTCTCTATGTGGAAAGCCTATTAATGTTTGCCCAGGAAGTAAGACTCAGCCTGCTATAGCTACTGATGGAATCGAAATTGGGAATTCAAATAACAAGAAGAAGAAGCTATCTGGTGGAGCTATTTCCGGTATTGTCATTGGGTCTGTTGCTGGATTTTTCATTCTTTTGTCGATTTTGTTTGTGTTAGGTAGGATGAAAACCGGTGATAAAACAAGGTCTCTTGATGTTGAGACAATTAAGTCACCGGAAACAGAAGTTCCCGGGGAGAAACAAATTGAGAAACCCGAAAATGGAGGTGTAAATAATGGGAATTCAGTTGCTGTAGCAGCACCTGCTGCTGCAGTATTGAATAGTGGTGAAGAGAATTGGGGAGAAAATGGGGTTAGGAAAAAGCTTGTGTTTTTTGGAGATTATTATAAAGCATTTGAATTGGAGGATTTGTTGAGAGCATCTGCTGAGGTTCTTGGAAAGGGGACATTTGGAACAGCTTATAAGGCAGTTTTGGAGATTGGTACAATTGTTGCTGTTAAGAGATTGAAAGATGTGGCAATAACTGAAAGGGAGTGCAAGGAGAAAATTGAAACAGTTGGAGCAATGAATCATGAGAATTTGGTGCCTCTCAGAGCTTATTATTTCAGCAGGGAGGAAAAACTTCTTGTCTTTGACTATATGCCAATGGGAAGCTTGTCTGCTCTTCTTCATGGTAAGTTTTAGTACACTCTTTTACTGTCAATTCATGTTGTTCGGACTCTCTAAAAATGTTACCGCATCTGTAAATCATCAAAAAATGCATTACTTTGGAGGATTTGACACGCACTCAGTGGTATGGATCCTCTAACAATACACTACCTTTTTGGAGGATCTCACATGCACTTAGCAGCATGGGTCCTCAAAATATGCACTACCTTTGGAGGATCCAACACACACTCAGTGGCATGGATTCTCAAAAAAAAAATCACTATTTTTGGAGGGTCCGACATGTATTGGTCGATATTTTTAATGAGTTCACGCAACGTAGCTACCAATATCTGGTGTTTTACTTGCTTTTCCCTTATTCAGTAGATACACTATATTTGTTCCAGACTTTGACATTTTGTTAGAATAATTAGTTTGACTTGTTGCTAACAGTGTAACATGCAATGTCTGTAGTATTTGGCCCCTCAATCCAATGAAAATGTGATCCTAGAATTAAGCATTAATTTCTTATCATTACCTTAGTCTTCATTATGTAAAGCATGCTTCTAATATAAGAAAGTATGTTAAATCTAAAGTTGTTTGTAATTAAGAGCAATAAGTAGTACTCCATTTCATTTAGTGCTTTCATTATAGCAAAAGGGTCCTTTGTTCTTTATAGATACCCTGTCCATATACAGGGGAAAGGTGAACAAGCACACATATAATCTTTCACTTGGCCCTACAGTAGTAGGGTCTATCATTATATGTTCTTTTTCTATCTAGAGCATCTGTATAGGACTAGAATTTTGAATCTCCGAAACTAATTATTCAACTGGTGATTAGTTTCCTGGCATGTGAATCTTGCATGAACATGTACATTTTTCGCCTTTGGTATACTTGAAACTTGTTAAGTGACTAAGAAGCTGTAATGAGCTGTATGCTGCAACTCTACTTTCTATTCACTACAATTTCTTTAATTTACTAGGAAGCAAGGGGGCTGGCAGAACACCATTGAATTGGGAAATCAGGTCCAGTATTGCCCTCGGAATTGCACGTGGCATCGAATACCTTCACTCTCAAGGTCCTGATGTCTCTCATGGGAATATCAAATCATCCAATGTTCTTCTCACCAAATCATACGAAGCACGTGCCTCAGATTTTGGCCTGGCTAACTTGGTTGGATCGCCATCCTCCCCTACTCGAGTTGTTGGATATCGTGCTCCAGAGGTAACTGATCCTCGCAAGGTTTCCCAAAAGGCTGATGTCTATAGCTTTGGAGTATTACTCTTGGAGCTTCTTACTGGAAAAGCACCTAGTCATGCCCTCTTAAATGAAGAAGGTGTTGATTTGCCAAGGTGGGTTCAATCTGTCGTTCGTGAAGAATGGCCTTCTGAAGTATTTGATATTGAGCTCCTCAGGTACCAGACTGCTGAAGAAGAGATGGTCCAACTCTTGCAGCTAGCAATAAATTGTACAGCTCAATATCCTGATAAGCGACCTTCAATGGCTGAGATCTCTAAACAGATTGAAGAGCTTCGACGCCCAACCTCACATGATAAACAAGAACTCTCTGATCTTGCCAATGCAACAAAGTGAAGTGGTCATTATTAGTCCCCCTCGAGATGTGCAGTAATTAAGCTAAACTCAGATTCATCACCAATCTTTTTTAAGCATATTAAACTTGTTGTTTGTTGGGGGAGGGGTGTCTCATCTTCTTTCAGTTTGAATTAACTGATCATGGCCCCTTTTTCTCTATGTTTCTGTAGTAGACTAGTGGTTACCCCTTTCATTTTCCTTTAGATGAGGGGCCAAAGCCAATATCTGTACCATTTATTCTTGTTGGATGTATAATGCTTTCTGTAATTATTACTGCTTCTGCTTTTACTTTTGCTTTTTCAGTTGCAACTGTCGATGGCTATTCTGTGTGTATATGAGGCATGCATGCATGTGGTTCTTGATATGCTGAAGCCAGCAGGGAGATTGCATTGAGAGTTTTCATAGATGCTGAGTTGGCCAAATATTGTTCCCACTCGACAATTGGTCTGTGTATGCCAACTCATCATCGAGTTGAGTTGTGTTTTAATACAAAGAAAGAAAGTGATAATTTAATCAAGTACTAGTAACAACAAATGGTTGAGGTATGTTTGACCACTAACTCAAAAGAAATGTAGATTTATATCATCCAAGAAGAAACAGGGAATCCTTAGCAAACCATATTATGGTACCAACTCTTTGTGGCAATATCAATTATTGCTGATAGATTTTAGTTGTGTTATTTTGATTTGATATCTTTTCTTTTCCATTGTTAATAGGCAAACAGTCGAGTCTCTCTGAAAAATTGGCCAGTACCAAGAGAGGACCAGCAGAATTAACAGATACTTTCACAAGAGAAGAGAAACAGAATTAAGGGAACGGAAAAGAGTGATGTAAAGTTGTAAACACCAAAATTTGAGGCAACAAGTCCAATCCCTTTCAAACAGGAGATGTGTTCTCATTGCTGTGGAGGGACAATTACAAAGCAAATCAAAAGCCTGAAGTCAAAAAACCACAAGGCATCTCATGGCCATACATGAGAACAAAAAGAGAATACACAATTGTCACACTAAATAAAACGACGATTCAAAGCACAACCTCACAGCATGAGATTCGAAAACACATCACATCCCCAGTGGTCGCGATCATGATCTTTAAGCTGCTTCTATATCTGTAAGGGAACAAAAATAGGAAAAATAGAAACCGTGAAGAGAATAGAACTATTTCTAGAAATATTGCATTAGACTTGGTTGGATACATACATTTACAAGGTATAAAGACAGGGAGATGATTGGCGGGCGTTCAGTTTGTTTCTAACTTCTCTCACAGGCCCGGTTAACTGGGGAGCTATACATTAGGATTTGACGGATGATCATCTTTCCAACCTTTTGTAAGCAAATCATAATTTATTGATGCAAGCTGGGAGAGATTCTGTTGAAACAAGTGAAGAAAATTAGTGGTAGCATTGTGAGGATTAACTCATGAGACGAATAGCTTTCTAAAATCTAGTTCCATCAACTTTTTTGAGTACCGAATAAAGAGAAAAATTTGGTCAATCAAAGCAGGGAAGATTATGTTGGAACAAATGAGAGAACAAAGTTAGAGGATGCAAAAATTTCATGAGTTCTTTATTAGTGCAAACTAACTTAGTAAAGTGATTTAAGAATGCAGATAATCGATTTAAGAATGCATAAACAGTTGCAGTTCCAAATGTATTATTTAGATTCAAGGCAACATCTGAATCCAATGAAACAAAAAAGGCAGCCATAACCTGACAATTTTCATGTACTCAATCAAGCCTTAAGATCTTCATCATACAAATAACATCCAGCCATCAAAAAGTAGAAAATCATGAATAGGAAGTTGTAAAGCAAAAGATTACCTTAAAAGAGAAGTTATTGAAAGGATAGTTGACAGAAGAGCCTGACTCGAATTCTCCAATACCAGCACATTCATCACCCTGCGAAATATTTCGTCAAAACTAAACCTATTTAGTAAAAAATCAATGGAGATCCGCCAAATATATTGACTTACAACATGTTAAGAGTTAACACGCCAGTCCTTTATTTTATTTTATATTTAATTCATTTTGTGGGTATAACCAACATACCAGTTCATCTTGGCGATTATCCAGACAGCTGCTACTACCACTAACACTACCATCATCGCTAGAACCCTCATATTCACTGCCTGCATATACATGTTCATCTGAAGGATTCCAAGAGAAGCGACTAGTGAAGTAACTAGTATCCAGTGCACCTTCGGATGCAGGCACAAATGCCGCCTGAGAAAAGAGTACAAACATTGATGCGACACCAATCAGTAGAAAAAACAAGATAGACCCACCTATTTATATAACACAACTACGCCTCAATTCCAAGCTAGGAGGGGTCGGTTATGTTTTCATGGCTCGGCGCTAGGAACCATCTGCTAGTACAGACACAGTTAAATGAAAATGAATCACTTCTATGAGTAAAGTATATTGCAGCCAACCTTCTGTCTAGCAAGTGTGTCCCAGTTAATATCTCTAAAAAATGGATGCTGCTTCACCTGCATGCGGATCATAGTCATTCTACAATCTATTCTCAAAATCTCAAATGAACAGATGTAAGAAGGCCCAATATTAAAGTACGTTGTGGAAAAAAACATCACCTCTGATGCTCCTCGTGCTCCAAGTCTCATATTAGGATCTTCTGTCAGTAATCTGAAATTTATCACGACAGCAGCTTTCAAAAGTTGAGGGACATAAACAAACATGTTCTACAATAGATGAGTTACAAAGAGAAGAATAGTTTGTTTATATTATTGCTAAAGCCTGATGATACTAATCTTTGTAGCAACACCTGAAATTCCAGAATCAATTCAGCATCAATTAATTACAGTTCAAAACCCAGCCTGCTAACATTTTGGCAGAACAGATCTATTCTAAATTTATAATTTTCACCATTATCCATTTCATAGCAAGATTCATTTTCTGTTCTATCGGGAAGGATTTGTTTTTCTTCAGGGATCGATGGACGTAATGTGTACTCTTTGGAAATACAGAAGAGTTCCTGAATGGAAACAATATTAACTAAAAGCTTTTGTCAACTAATTGACGGTCATTATTAGATAACCGATTTTGGAGTATTTATAGACAAGTGCTTTTTCGTCAAAAGTCAACTGCATTCTAATGATCCACTGCCTCTCTCAAATTCATCAAACTAATTCCTCATAACTCAAGCATGCCTACTAACATAGAGTCTCCATCTACATTTCTTTATTCCAGGAGTTAAATGAGAACTGGCTAAAAGCTGAAGGTTCTTGGAAAAAGAACTTGCCAACTGAAACTTGAGAAGATAAAAATGGGACTTGAAATAACAACCAGAATGATTCTCTTACTGGTCAATCAGATCTTGTGCGTCACCGCTCATTTCCTCAGAAACCATTGGCCAAGGTATCTTACGATTGAGAATATTATCGAATATTTTCTGAAAATGACCCCAAAAAGAAAAAAGAGAGAGAAACATGACATCAGGAGTGCTTCATAAAACAGTTACTTCACCAACATAGTAAATAAGGAGAGAAACTGCTCAGATAAAGCTACTGTAAGCAAAAAAAAAAAAACATGAAGGTATCAGAATTGCAAACACTAAATTATTTAAACTTAGTGCACATACATTTTATATTATGGTATTAAGTGTTACGTACATCAAACTGCTCGACATCAGAAAAAGAGCTAAAACTACAGATCTTGTTTTAAGCCACTCTTTTTTATTCTTTACTCAAATCAAACAATCCCATCGAAATGCCAGATTTGAGTCAACATTTTCCCTTGATTCCTCTTAAAGTGTGTTGACTTTACTAAAGATTCCATTTCATTGAATTGGTCGTTCACCATGTACGAGGTTGCCATCAAGAATCCGTATTCAGTGGTTTAAGCACACGCTGCAGATTCACAAGTCAATTCCAATTGGTCTTGCATGTAATATCCAAAGCTATCTTAGTACCTGACTTAGTTTATACGAAAATTCTTACAGAAAAAATCTAATTAGCTTGGGATTTAGCTATAGTTGATGTTTTCAACATCGTCTTAACTCTTTATAAAAAGAATGCCCAATTCTAATTTTGGGTGCATACCAGCACAACCCCTCATTGAGTCGTTTGGAATCAGCTCTGTATCAATGGAATCTCATAGCCATATCAGGAATCAAGGTGGTACTACTTTTAGATCCCGTTTGGCTTAACTTTTAAAATATAGCTTTTTAAAAGTAGTTTTTAAATAGTCAAACTTTAGTAACTTTTAAGTTAAAAAATGAAAAGTAGGGAGTACTTACTTTTAACTTTTTTTAAGTCATTTTAAACTTATTTTAAGTTATTTTTAAATTTGTCAAACACTCCCAAAAGCTAAAAATGACTTAGAAGTAGATTTGACCAACTTTTAAGTCAATCCACACATCCTCGTAGTCATATAGCCTTCTGCATAAAAATAAAATAATTCACTCTATAATCGTCAAGTAATCCACACATGCAAAACATACGCATATAAAGAACTGTGTCACGTCCAGAAAGAGTTAGTTTGCATAAATTAGTAACTAGGATATACAAACATTAATACTTTTTTTGAAGACTTCATATTTGGTGCAGTTGCAGGGAGAGAACTTAGACACAGTACTATCTTTTAAAACATTGTAAGAGAAAAATCCTTAATATTAAGCATAAGCAACATTAGTGGCCATTTCTGTACCTCTTGGTACTTATTTCAATAAAATATTTCCTTATCAAAAAAAAAAAAAGCACTAGCAACTTTAGTGACCATTTTTCTTTTACTTTTCATATACAAACTAATCTACAGCTAAATGGGTAGTGTAGTATTCCTTATGACCTGAGGGATAACAAACTACATAGAAGAATAAGGACAAAACATACAAATAAGAAGACAACATATTAACCTGAGGATGCTCTGCATTAAAAGGAGGAACACCAACAATCAACTCGAAGAGAATAATGCCCACGGACCACCAATCAGCCGTGAAACCTGAAAAGAATCATGTAGCCTATGATTAAGAACTAAATGAAAAACAGAAGGGTGCAAAAAATGCTCTCAAATCCAAATTGTTTTTATAAGAATGTCAGGTTAGACATATATTCAAGTTCCTATCCAAGGAAAAAAAGAACAAAGACTCAATGAAAGCATGTCCAGAATTCTAGAAAAAGCACTAATGTGGAGGGAACTCCCAATCCGTATGCCAACTCATCCTCGCTCCCATCCGCATTCTAAGAATTTTAACATGTGTTAAGCATGAGTGCATAGTACCATATTTACTTTCTTTCACCATGGCAAATAATTTTACTGATGTGAGAAAAGGCTCACATACAAGCAGTTCACCAAAAAGTAGAGCCAACTGAAAAATATGGCTCTCCAAAACACACCATTCTTCTACGGTATGCATGAGTGCATAGTACCATATTATTACTGATGTGAGAAAAACCTCATATAGAAGCAGTAAACCATAAGTAGAGTCTACTGTAGAATATGGCTCTCCAAAACACACCCATTCTTCTATACAAACCGAGATCTCATGAGTGCACCAAAATTAAGAATAGCAAAAGTCTATTACTCAAATGTACAAAGTCATTCTCTAAACTTTCAGAAAGCTCTCAGATTTCTCTCCTTCCAACCCACATGAGCTCTCATATTTCCCTTCTGTATTCTAAACACCCAACTATGTATAGTACGATATCCATTTTTATCAACCAATCCCAAGCCTTTTTAAGGCTAAGTAATTTGTTTTATTGAGACAAAGGATTCTTTAAAACTAGAGATTATGAAACCACGCCTATCTCTATCATACAAGTTTCTGATCAGAAAGAAAAATACTTTAGACAAAAATCAAATGTAATGCAATTGTAACAATTAAGGGTAATACAGCAAGTCTGCATTAACTATACAAACATTTTAATTGGATTGTGTTTTTGTTAACAATTAAGTGCACATTGATTCCAAGAGATCACAAATCATTTTTATAGCGGTACCAAGAGATTGCAATTCGATTGAGACAACTACCCTCCTTTAGATCTAACTTATTATCTTTTTTGTTTTAATCATATTGTTATCAACCATATTGCTAACTATAGGTTAGTGAGATCTTATAGGAACATAACCAGACCACCTGATCTCTCACTTTACTTCTAGGCATGCTACTTGCATGCTCCATCAGATGTGATCATTTCCAATCTCGTTCAAATCTGTATGGTATTTGCACATCGATCTTAGCATTCACACCTGACATGTACGCACATGTCTCTTGGACCGACATAACTAAATCATCCTAGGATTTAGTGTCAGTTTTCCTACTAGTTCTATTTGCTGAGCATAAACACTAACAATGTTGATTGTCCCCCATCTCTCCCAATCAATCTTGATGGATCAGTCCTATCACCTATTCTCCTTACATCTACAACTTTATCTTTTAAGTCTTGATCTGCAATGGTTTCCAGCCACGTTTCTATTATAATCTATCCCGCAATATCATTAATTATAACCAATCTCCCTAATATGTTTTCATGTACACTGAAGTCTCTTGTGGACAGGCAGTATTAACCCTTTTCCTTTTTAAGCTATCCACCAATTCTATTGGCTTTCCTGTCCTGTCAATGAGTTCCTACCCATCTGAATGGAAGTCATTTTAGCTTTCTACCCCATCTGAGATGAGGAAATTTTTTTCTATCTAGCACCACATCTAGATGATGATACTAACTATTCTGCACCCTCCACTTTCTATAGTATGAGAACCTTCCTTATAATCCCTCAGTCACACTCGAGTGACAATGCAATGGAATTCCTCGTATATTTAAATTTACACCCAAGGAGCGATGTAGTATTTGCCTAGGTAGACATTGTCACAGCAATTCAGTATTCAGAGAATTCATCATCTTTAGATTATTTTTTACATCAACCTACTGCAATCCTCCTTTGCTGAATTGGAAATGGTAAAGAAAAGTTTAAAAGGGATTTTAAAAAATGATAAAGGAAAAGGGAAAAAGGGAATTTATTTGGTAACATTATCAAGTTGATCATTTAAAATGATTGCTTCATCTGCCAAGTTCAAAGATAATCAGCTATTCATTGTAAATGAAGATAGAAGGGTAAAAACGGATACAAACCATGCCCTGTTCCTAGAAGAATCTCAGGCGCCAAATAGTCCGGTGTACCTACTGCAGAACGTTTCTTCCGCCTTTCTTCCTGATGCTCAGATGCAGATAGCTGAGATTCATCATCTTCCATCATGGATGTTCCACTGACAGCTGGACCAGATAAATCATCTGTGCTATTGATAAGACCAACTTTAGAAAGCCCAAAGTCTGTCAACTGAACAAAATTACACAAATTAAAACTAACTCATCAGTGTGAAACCAATGTGATTTAAAGAAAAAAGCCCAAGAAAACAGGTCATCAACATGTTAAACCACCGCAAGCTCGAACAATGCCTTGAAAATGCTAGACTAGAACCTCAACAAGGAGAAACATCAATGGATATACAGTCAGGGAAATTTTATCCAATGATGAGCTGCTTCGGATTGAGGCGTAGTTGTTGTATGGGCTGCTTTACAACCACGGCAAACAATAATTGGGGACATTATTTAACAAATTGCCTGTCATTATGTCAACATGAACCACAACAAACACTTCTACGATTTAAGCTTGAGGAACACATTAGCAAAAGCACCCATCACATTCCCCAAGTTAAATAGGCAAACAAATGATGGAACAGAAAAAAAAGGTTGCAAGTAGAAACATAGCGTAGGCAGGTTGATTTCTAAACCCCTAACACAAGCCTCAAGAAATATCTTGCCTAAACATTACATGCCCATCTATTTTTTCTATTACCTATTTGTCGATATATATTACATTAAACTGTAGACCTTTTTGTGTAAAACATAAAACTCCTCAAGTCATAATGCAAGGTCTCCTTTGATATCCAGTTCACTGTTGTAACCATCTCAGAAAACACAGTTATATTCATTTGAATAAATAGTTTATTTCACTATAAAATTATCTGAACCTACAATAGTATACTGAAGCTCTATAATCTCTTTACATATCTGCAACTATTATCCAAATAAAAAGATGACCTTTTTTCTTTTCGAAATGGCTATAACGAAAAAGCTAGGCGTTTTCATTTCATTGTTTTTAAAATTGTGGCCTTCATTTACTCGAATATGAAATTCAAAAAGCCAAACTAATGAATTTAAAAACTTTTTGGCTTTCATTTTTTCATATGTAGAATTAAAAAGTTACAAACCTGGCCCTAGTCACTCTTGAAATTCCATAATAAATGAAGGATTCTAAATCATGGACCAACACATTTCCTTTTTTGATCAAGTAAAATATTTCATTGATAATATCAAGGCCATCTTGGACTAACATTTTTCCTTGAGCTATGAAAGCTTATGGCAACAACTTGATTCCAGATATCTAGTTATAGAGATAAGTACGAACAAACATGGTGGATTTTAGAAAAAGCCATCACAGCTTACCTATTAAACGTTGTATCTAAAATGCCCCCACCTAAAACAAGGAATTTGACTATTCAAAATACTTTATGAAGAAGACTCGTTTTAGACACAACTTTTACCTTGATATGACCATCATGTGCAATCAACAAATTGTCAGGCTTCAGATCTCGATGAACCACATGCTGAGAGTGCAAGTATTCCAGGGCAAGCACCTGGCACATCAGAACTTCAGATTTAGGAGTTTCACCATAATGTACAGTACTTTTGAGAGCAAGACAGAGACATAGATACTCACAACTTCAGCTATATAAACACGAACGACTTCTTCATCTAAGCAGCCTAGATTTCTCAACAATGAATATAGGTCCCCACCATTCAAGTATTCCATCACAAGGTACAAGTTTTCACGGCAAGTAAATGAGTAGAAGAAGCGAACCTAATGCAAAACAAAAACCGGTAAAAGAGGTATAATCTTATCTTCAGTAAAATGCTTTGCCATCTCAACATGCTCACCACAAAAGGATTGCGAACTGATATTAAGATATCACGTTCGGCCAAGATACTCTCAACAGCATTCTTGCGTATCATGTCTGCCTTCTTCAGGACCTGCAACTAAACATGTAAGTTGGACTGCCACAAAGAAGCAAGACATAGCATACCTAAGATTAGAACTTCACCACTAGGATAATCGCTACATCTTTAGGTTAAGACTATAACTCCATAAAATTCAAGAGTCTTCTCAACTTTCTTAAACTCTGTGTTGAGTCAAAACCAGACAAACAAATTGAAAAGGAGGGAGTATATCCTTATGTTATCGCGCACAGCCATGAGATGTCCTGTGGTTTTTAAGTTCAGGGTTTCGATCAGTTAGTACGTCTCCCGCTATGGAAATGAGAATACATCTTCTGTTTTGAAAGAGATTTGAGTTATTGCCTCAAATTTTGTTGTTTACACTCTCTATCATCCCCTTAATACTAGTGAGGGAAGTTAAGTAGTCTACTCCGAAAAGAATGAACTTTATTATATTTGTTAACTCACTTTAAACTTCCATTTTACCTTAATGACATACTTTTTCTATAAGATGAAGAAACCCTTAATAGCATACTCTTGTAGCCATGAAAATGTCATCGCATTCTTTTTCTTCTAACAACTGAAAAATTCCGGAGTGCCAGTGTAAGGTTCGAAACTTAATGGATACGGGCATGATCCTCTACCGTTTTTCACTTAAATAATGGGGTTTTGTTGGAGCGAGATTTGAACTTGTGGCGTGCACCTAACCCACACATTATGAGTTGCACTTACCACTACTAAGACACTTTGATCTAGTTTTTACCTGATCAAAAAAGTTAAAAAGGTACTTTGGTATGTATTAAAAGTCTTTAGGAGTCTTTTCGGAGGTAAGTTAATCATGTATTAAATCTTGCATAACTAATAACTTGTTCGTCAACATTCATTTACTATGTTTAAAATTAATACAGGTATAAGTTATGAGGGGATATATGTATTATTTTATGCAAGATAGAATATGAAATACTAAACCCTGAAAAACTAATCTCAACATGAAATAATAAATAGATTTCCTCAGAACTAATATCTGCATGACTCTAACCAGCTACCAAACGACCCCTTATTTCTAAAATATTGTACCTGGTTAATACCTTCACATAAAATTATACCGACAGAGCACTATTTTGGCTCGCATTATGTCATTACACAAAATTCATTATGTTGTACACTCTTTTCTAAAGGGAAAAGTCCTCCCAATCCTAGTAAAACACATTGTTGTTCTTCACTTCCCATAGAGGCATTAATAAAGCCTCAATTAGAATTAAAGTAAATAATCATAAAAGGCCAAGGCATGTTTATATTTACTTGACTAGGATTTGAGGAGGTAAGGTAAGGTATCATATCTCCCTTCTTTATGTACTATGGGATATTCATACGAGACAGACATTAATGTCTTAACCCTCTGGCACCTCAAGGCGGATTCTTCAAAAAAAATTTATAAAAAAACATATTGAAGTAGACTGCCTCATTCACAAACAATTGAGTCAAGATGTATCACTACTAGTCCAGTCAATTCGACTATCAGTTAGAAAACTTACAAAATCATTTCAAGGGCCTAGAATTGTTCATATATTTAAACAAGTTAAGTGGAAGCAATAATGCACACTTCAACTTGAGGGAGAGCTTTAAGAATGTAGATATATCAAGTTCTTTTTTATTATATATATAACAAACCCCCAGAAACATAAACCTTCCTCCTCAGGAGTCTGACAGGACACACATTTCCTGCATTTGTTCCCTTGGTGACTCGAATCAAGGTGGAGGTTAGTCTTTTTTTCATATAAGGGCTGGCTGGTCCTTATCACTAGGATATCCATCCACTGTAAAATTCATACATTGTAAATATGGAATGGATCCCGAACTCCCATTCCTGCTGTAAGGTGATTAGGAGAATTATAGGAATGTATTATATGGTTTTTTTTGTGAAGATTCCTGTACACTCTGTTTAGTCCCCAATAATTTAAGGGAATAATCAAGTTGTGCATTATACAAGCTCCGCTTCTCTTCTCTATACAGGAGGAAGAGCAGAATGGTCTGGTTTCTTACTTGATACCTGAGGCTAGAAACCTCCCTGAATTAGATGATGTCATAAGGAAACTAAGGGACATAATAAAAGAAGCATTTACCATGAAAGACAAAAATGGGAAACCTACAGTTAGAAATGGAGGAATCCCACCCCTCTTTCTGTAACCATACATAGACATCCTTATCAGAAAAGTACATGTAATACACACGTCGATATCCAAATATAGTAAATTTATCACAGGAATAAATTGCCAAAAGCAATAGGAGATCGAGGTTTCATAAGCTCCTTTGGTAATTTTGTTTAAGTAATGTTGCAAGGTAACACAAAATTGTAACGTAATCCTTATATACGAACTCCCAAATATTACATGATATATCTGTTTGCTAGATATGAGACATGCACAGAAACAGATGTTAAAGACATGGAGCAAGGAGCTATCACTTAAAGACAGATATTGTTTTTCGTTTTCTCTTGGACTGGGACGAGGATGGTGGAAGGGGGTTCTCGATGTGCGATCACAGATCAAGCTAAAATCGCTTCAAAAAGGAAATCTGAATGATTCAAGGAATGTTGATCAATAAAACTCAATCACCAAACTACTATAGTACCTTAATTGCAAAGAGATCTCCAGTTGTTCTCTTTTTTGCCAAGAAAACCCGACCAAATGCCCCACGACTAATTGGTTTGATAATCTCAAAGTCATCAATAGACGTACGATCTTTGGAATGAACTGGGCTAGTTCTCAAGCTACGTACAACATCATCTTCCAAGGGAGCATCTTCATCAATGACAGTGCTCGTTAGATCAACTTTGTCATCATCAACTAGCTCACACAGTTGCAAATACTGTTCCCTGGACAGTTGTGAACTTAAGTTAAAGAAACTTTCTGAAGATAGAGCAGAAGCAAAAAAAGAAAAAAGCAAGATTCCTTCCTTTGTTTTCTCCCCTGAGCCCCCTCAACGTTTCATGGTTCTTAGTATTCATCATTTTCTTTTGAGAGTACCCCCAGCAGTATATGGATGTTAGAGTGGGTTAGAGTCTCAAATTGATTGGGTAATGGATTGGTGGTTGCTTATATGGACTTTGGGCAATCCTCCCCTCATGAGCTAGCTTTTGGGATGAGTTAGGTCAAGTGTAATATTTTACATGTATCAGATTCAAGTCCATACCCGTTTGGGCTCCAGAGCCCCGCTCCAGTTGGGCCTGGACGTGAAGGGGGGGTGTTAGAGTTGGTTAAAGACCCACATTGGTTGGGAATCGGCTGATGGTCTACTTATATGGACATGGGCAATCCTCCACTCATGAGCTAGCTTTTGGGGCTAGATTAGTCCCAGGTGCCATATCTTTACAATGGATATAACACAAGAAAGGTCAAATTACCGAATCAGCTTTTCAATACGAGTTCCAAATGTTTCCACGGTAAGTGCATCTAACTTTCTGCGTTCAGTCACAACTTTTAAATCTTCAAGGCAAGAGAGCAAATAAGGCAAAGAGCGATCATCATCTATAGGCGTAGTCGCCACACATCGAGCAATATCGGCAAGTTCAATCATCTGTAATATTAAAAAAAGTCAATACCAATTACCTGCACCTATTGAAGTCAACAGTTAAGCAAATTCATCCCTAATAGAATTAAAACCATCCATGAAATATAATTAAATAAAATGATGTATGCTTGAGTTGTATATTGAAATTGGGATATAGAATGCAGCGTACACTAATCTTTTCACCTTTTGTCAATTTACCCGTCAAACAGATTTTTTTGGTATTGAAAACCTCTTTAACTATTGTAGGAAATGCTATTTCATTAGTTTTTTGGGCAAAAAAAAATTGAGAGATCTCTGAAGAAGGAATACCCAACTTCTGGGGTCGGCTTCAATCATGAGGAGAACTCCACAAGCAAAATGGGAACTTAAAATGTTCCTTCCCCACAAGCCACAAGATCATAGTCAATGAGGTAAAACTAGAAATATGTGACTTCATTCCACTCTACTTGAAAAGGCACAAATATTCACAGCGCCACAAAGATCAGTCTATGAGGTAATATTAGAAATCTGGTAATTTCATTCCCCTCTGCTAGGAAATCCATCAGCTCTTCCCTAACAAGAACTTGCATTTCTCTTAAAAATGTATCACTCCTATATATGATTATCGTAACGTGGAGGAGAGATGAAGGAAAAATGCAAAAGAAGAAGGAAGTATTTTCATCACTGAGGCCATACAAATTGAACATTCCAGAAGCTTAACAGTCCAGAAGGTGATAGAGACCAACAGTTGGATTAGGCAATTGAGGTTTCCTCATGCTATAATTCAAGGACTATCATCAGAAAGGTCTCGAGGAGTAGTTAAGAAGGCAGGAGGTAATAACAGAATTTTGTTAGAATTGATGAACCTAATTCTTATGTACCCGATCTAACGTCCTCTTTCTCATGTGCCCTCTCTCTACTTCTCACTTTTCTTCCCTTTCTGTTCTATCAGTACTCACTCTCTTCTACCTTCCCTCTCTAGCCGAATGCTATAGTTCTTTCGTACATTACCTTCCGTTGTTTTAAAAAAAAAACACACAAAAAAATGGAAAATTAAAAATTATTATATTTTCCTTAATGGTATTTGGGCTGCTAACATGGAGTCTTCGATAACTGACCAACCGGCCGAAGCATGACCAAACCCATTGAAACCCAGCAGTGAGCCCAGTACAATTAAGCAGACTCCTTTTCTTGTTCATGATTCTCTTTGTTATTCTCTATTCTTCTTTCATTCCCCATTCTTCTTCCTTTTATGCTCTCAACCCGGCAACATGAGAAGGAGAGTGTTTTTTGAGCACAGTACTATAACCAGAGTACTTTCTTGTTCATGTTCTTTATTATTCTTCTTCAAATTTTCCTCCTTTCATATCTCACTATGCTGTCATGCAGTGCAGCATGGGACGAAAGATACAAATATGATTAATGGTTGAGGGGGTAGAAGGTGGAGGAAAAGGAGAAGAAGAAAAACTAGCACCAGTAAAATCTTTTTGTGGGAAAGGAAAAGAAAAAAGGGGGAAAGAATTTAACAACTCCATAAGTGAAACCTAACAGAAAGGTGTAAGCTGCAACCTTCTATAAAGTTCAATGGAGAGAATGCCGCCAAAAACAGTTTCATGGCAAAGTTGCCAAAATGCTAAAAACTTTTGAGGCCGCTGGATCAATTTACATTATAACGTCATCAACCTTCTACAAGAAGCACAAGCTTCTCAACCTAAAGGGAAACAAAATCTGTGACTGAACCAAGAGCAAAGAGCACAATTTTTAAAATTTAAATTCATATTATTCACATTACATAACATTTTTAAGAAAGATTACACCTACCAACATATCCACAACCAAAGAAAATACATGCAAGTGCATGCAAACTCTGCTAGCAGCAACAGAGCTCTTTTAGTCGTATCCCCAAAAAAGAAGTGAACTGAGAGGCAAACATACTGAAGAATCATAGTAGTATCTACCTGAGGAAGATCATCATGCTCAGAGGCACAACCTTTTCCTGCCAATAGTAGGTCGATTGGGCTGGTCTTTGGCGTCAGCAAGGGGGACCTAGGTGTCATGCTGCCAGCAGATGATGTTGTCATCCCCTGATCGGATTTAGGTCCAAACCGGGTTCTACATGACATAGAAGGTAAACCTTTAAGTTCATCCATGAAAACAGAGTTATCCACCTCAGGAAGACAGTCAAGCATATCCTCTGAACCTCTGCAAGACCCGTCACTAAGTTTTGGAGAGAGAAGTTCAGATTCCTCAGTTAAAATACAGTTTGATACTTTTGCACCATCTGGACTTCCAACAGCATGCGGGATGTCCTTATGTGCAAATGACTCCATGAGCTTCTCAAGAGTATCTGCAACCCTTAACAAGCGTTCATTAACACTTAGACTTTTTTGATCACAGCGATCAGCAATTGCACAAATTCTGGAGTGGTCTTCTACATGTAATGTAGGGACCTCCTCCTCACAAATGCGACACATTATTGAACTCTCATCAGAAACACTTGGTTGATCACCCCAGTAACCCCAGGAAACATTACGTTGGTGTTTGGAAGGAGGAACTGAAGAGTGTGCAATTGAATCCCTAGCAGAAGAAAGATCAGGATGCTTGACAGTAGCTAGATCTGAAGCAGACGGTCCTTTTTCATCACTAAATAGTTTTGAAGCTTCAATGCCTATATCAATGTTCTCCTCCTTGATTGGAGATGCTTCTTTGGGACTTTTTGCAGGTGGAGTTGGAAATTTCTTCCAAGATGCCATTCGATTCCTACTGCCCGGAGAATCCAATGTTTTTGCAGTTTCAGCTTCCGAGGTCGGAAGGTTACCTAACTGTACAGCTTGATCTCTCTTCCATTCAGAGCCATGTTGTTCCTGACTGTAAGATTTTTTTGTAGGAGGCAACTTTGGGAACTTCAGAGGACCAGACATCTTTCCATCTCTCCGTCTTTCAACGGGCTGCAATGATTGACGAAGCTGAAACAGAGGTTCATCCTCAGCAAATCCACTTTCTTTGTGAAACTGAAGCAAACGTGTGCACCTTGTAAGTATAAAAAGCATTCTAGTGTGCAGCTGCTTTAGTGTACCCATGGGGAGTTCCTGCCGTCTATCATCCAGTTCCTGGACGATGCCCTCACACTGAAGCCAAAATTCCCCAGGAGATGTCATTGCACATCTTCGAGCCAAAACCAGCAGATCTTCAATTGTTTCCTGCCAATCTGGATGAGTTTCTGCATTTTTTTCTAGAACCCCAACCAGATCTGCTGCGAAAACACGCAAATCATTATCCACTTCCTCCTTTGCTTTGTCAAACTTTGCTCTAATCATCGTTAAAACCTCCTGTTGAAATTGCAATATACTGATCAACACTTGCAAAAAGAACACCGATCATTTACAAACTTCAAGAACATAGCGAAAAGGTTGAATTTTACCTCCAAATTATTCAAACCTCGAGGTTTCCAGAATGGAAAAGGCCGTACACCTTTGGAGTTCAGTTCATGCGAAAAACTTTTTATATCTGCAGGAAACCGTTTCCTTGGAGCACTAGTCACCCGGAGTAAAGCTTGAAAGCGCGGAGATTCAGACTCCTTTGGGTTGTCGCATTCTAAAGATGTCTAGAAAGTACATCTAGCATTAGAGTAAGGATAATGCAATAGCAAGAGAAGAATCAATTAATGAAACAGCTTAATCCTCTGTACCTTCAATTCTGGAGTACAAGCATCTGAGCTCCTCAGACCTCCAGAGTAGCCCCAAGATGAACTGACTCGGCCTGCATAACGATCAAAACATTAGAAAGCATAACAAAACTTACACCCCAAGCAACCACGTGAACTTCACTAGTGCAGTCCACATATATATCTTGATATCTCCCAAAACAACTAAATGCAACAGAAGTCTTTATAATTACAAATCAAGTAGAAGTTTTTTTTGAAATAGGTAACTACAAATCAAGTAGAAGTTAAATTCTAGGATGATATCATCCATTGCCCTCAAAAGCACAATTTGCATAAACCAAACTTTCAAAGGCCAAGCATATTCATCAGAGTTCCCAGAACACATAACCAAGCCAGTGACTTCTTAGCAGTCCCACAAATAGCTTTCTTTTTTAAGCTGAATGAAAGAAAAGGAAGAACGCTTGTTGACCTTGGCCAGATTTCCGCATAAAATATTGCATATAGTTAAGAGCAAAGCCAGGTTATCCCAAAAAAAAATGGTAAGAGCAAAGCCATTCATACAATTCCTAGACTGCATGCTGCAATAGAGGAGAACTAGCTCTTACTGGACTTCGGTTGTTAAATGCACAATGATCAATTTACATATCTGTCCATAAATGCACTGCTAAATACTTAGTAGAAAAAGGTAATCAACATTCAAGCATCCCTAGAAAGGGAGCCCCAATGCATAAGGTACAACTAGTTAAAATAGTGAAGAACTACTTCCATGATACTGTATGGACGGAGAAACATAGGATTACCAGACTTATCAATAGGAAAAGCGAGAGAGAGAGAGAGAGAGATAGAAACCAGCCATGTTTGTCCTTTATCAAACCAATGCCAATTTCTCGTCAGAGTTGTATCTATAGGAAACAAATATAACTTTGCATATGACTTCTCAAACTTTATAAATCACGCCTACTAATGGAGATTCAGTATGCTGCAGGGCGAAAGAGAACAGGTCCTTGGCAACAGAAGAGATTTTTGGTAGAGCCTACTAAAGACAATAAAATAACAAATAAGGAACAAATACGAGAGAAGAATGCAAAGCTTTTAGCACTATTTAATCAAGGCAATGGTGTTTTTCCAATGCTTCCTGCTTCTTTGGGTATCACAGAAGACTAGGAAAAACACCAAATATGGATAAACATGCAAACCAGTGTAACTATGAAATTAATCCTAAAAATTGAAAACAATAATGTATTAATCTAATGACAATAAAATAAAAAAATTGGAACAAATACAAGAGAAGAATACAAAAGCCTTTAGCACTATTTAATCATGGCAATGGTGTTTTTCCAGTGCTTCCTGGTTCTTTGGGTATCACAGAAGACTAGGAAAAACACCAAATATGGATAAACATGCAAGTTAGTGTAACTATGAAATTCAAAAAATTAAAAACAAAAATATATTAATCTAAACTCAACATGCAGTTATTACTTTTGGATGATAATTCCATGCACCTAAAAGGTGAAATGTACTGAGTATCACTGTTCAGCCAATGCTTCACTCCTAACTTTGTCATGCATCTTTGACTGTGTTATCATTCTACAGGGACAACTGAGACCTGCGAGGTTAACTATTTTATGTTTTCTTATTACTATTATGTATGCATAATTTAAAAGAGACATTATGCATGCTAAATTTCTTAAACTATTGATACAGGTGTTTTATTGGTTCGTTTATTTCTTTTTATCCAGAGAACTAGGAACAAGTGCCAAAACAGAAGCCAAAAATATTCATAGCCATCATTTCAATTTTACCATACAGTCTTATTGGGTGTTATCACTTATGATGGCACAGGGGTGGGGCACCATGTAAGCCACTTAAAATATCAAGGACGTGGGCAGGACCGTATGTCAATGGCACAGCTGGGGTGAATACCGTCAAGGAGACACGCATGGGAAAGCCCATCGCTGCTCGAAAGAGAGACAGCACAGGGCGAGATGCGACGCAGCACTCAACCAAGAACCGACCACAGCAGAGCAGCCTGTGCAATCAGCCAAGAGCGACAGGGCTGTGTTGGTTCACAGAAGGCTACCCCGTCCACTTAGCCCACTGATTGTAATAGGTTTGAAGATCTTTTCATGTACATGACCATTCTAAACTCCCCCCCCCCCCCCCAACCCCTTTTTATCCCGAAAGAAAAATGGGCCCAACTAAGAAACCAATTATGTTTTCTAGTAGAATCTCTAAACAAGAAATACAGCTGTTTCATTCCATGTTTCCTATTCCGTGAAATATACTTGGGAAGCAAGTGACAAGGTAGAAACCAAACGTATCAATGCTTTGTATTAGCAACCCTCAAAAGTTGGGTTGTAGGTCAGACTTAATTATCAACCAAGTCCTATTCCTCAATAATTTTCCTTCAATCTCAATGGCACTAAGAAAACTTTACAAGGTGAGAGGCACTGCAGCCTCCATCTTCTCCCCATTCCTGAAGAAAACTCACTAAAAAGAAATATTATTGGCACTCCAACTGTCACTATTACCTGACAGATCAATAGATTCACAGAAAGCACTTCAACAAAACTATCACCAAGAATAGCGTGGAATTCTAAACCAAAACCAAGTTACCCCACAAAAAAAGGGTCCCATTTTTCATCTATTAGACTCCAATTAAACATTTAGTCATTTGGAAAATAGAAGCACAACGCACTGCATAACTAGATATTTATTCGAAAGTAAAACCCTCTGAGAATTTCATTAAGCCTTAGCTTCTACCTCATTGTCTAACAGCGTATTGTTTGATTTGATTTATTTTATTTTAGAATGAAAAAATAATCAAAATAGAATTATACACTATAAGTCGATTTGATTAAAAGATTGATATTCTAACAATCAAGATCTCCATGAGAAACCATGTCGCGCCACTGCATGGTTCAGTTTCCTAATGTGAGTCAAAGAGTAACCTAGTAAATCACACAGTCCAAACATAGTTTAAGAACATCTCTCTAGTGTTTCAGGCGTTAGATCATCTAATGCCAAGAAAGTTCAACTGATTTGGAACTAAGACTCTTGTATTGAATTTTTCAGTTGGATCAGCATTTGAGTACTATTTACTTCCCCTGAGTGATAAAAAGTGACCCTTTCAAACACAACTTATTAGTATTCACATTTTAAGCCAGTGGGTGTCTTGAAGTACCACAGCACTCACCAATCTTTGCGAGCATAATCAGATATACATACATTTTAGAAGATCAACTGTAGATATAGCTCAAGCCAGTTGCCAAATGACTACATCCAATACTGTAAATCCTTTTTGTAATAGAAAGACAGCTACTTTACCTGCTTCAGAAGATGATTCACCATTCTGCAGCCTTGATGGTCCAGGTACACGTGGGCTTTGATCCCTCGAACGACCGCTCTCGGAGGACATACTATCTGAATTGCTCCGGTTATCTACATTTTCCGCGGAACCCACCAGTGACCTCTTCTCATCCTTCTTCCTCAAAACAGAACTCGACAGCCCTTCACCACCGCCCCGTCCGCCTGCTACATTCTTTGATAAATTGCTAGCACCTAATGAATTCACCTTATCTCTGCTGGCATACCCAAAAAAGCTCTCTTGTGGCAAGGGCCCAGATCGAGTCTTTATCTTATTTAACCCCAATGATGATGCTACTATCGGCGACACTGATACAGACGTCGGCCTCAGTTCCGGTTCACGGGTTCTCACCGGATTCTTAGCCGAATTGGGACTCGGGCTCGAACTCGGACTTTCTTTACCTTTATCATCTTTATTCTTATCTTTGAAAGTTGAAATTGAAGATGGAGTGATCGGAGAGTTGTCTTTGGAAGTAGAACCTGACTTTGCTTTCTTCTTGTCGGATCGGATCGGGGAATTGGACCCAATAGATCGTGGACTGTTGGAGGATCCATCTGGGCTTGATGGGTCGGATTTCTTCGATGAGAAAAATCTACCTTTGAATACCATCTTCGGAAACTTAGCTGATATTGATTCCTAGGGTTAAATTAAATGACTCTTAATTTCTCTTGTTGTTGTTGTTGAACTGAATTACAGCCCCTTGGGGCTGTGAGGTTTGACTAGAGCATTAATGGAGATTGACTGATTGCAGAGTTTGGTTTGGACTGAAGAAGACACTGTAGTCCACTGTTGCTCTGTAGAATCGGAAATGGTGACGGTGACTGCGTCGAGAGACAAAGAGAGAAAGTATTGGGGGCTAAAATGAAACAATCAGGAAAAGACTTGACCGTCTTGGAATTCTCTATTTATAAGGGGGGATTTCGAAATTGTGAGGTTTTTAAATCTCAAATTACACCAAAAAGGCAAATAAATGAAAATAAAAATGAAAAGATGAAAAAATATGTCCATTTTTTTTTTCTAAAGAAATTAATACTTCTTCCGTTCATTTTTATTTATCACTGTTTGACTTGACACATTCTGTAACGACCCGGAAAATGATAGAGTGAAACTAGAGTCTCACATGTGAGTTTGGAGTCGAGAACTTAATGAAATGGTTATAATTGAATTTGACCCAAAAAGTTCTTAAAATGTGCTTCGGAAGTTATCGAAAACTTGTTTAGCTGTATATAAAAAGATCCGTTTCGTTTTTCGAAAATCCGACTTCATATTCTTGTTTAGGGGGTCAAATTGAGTGGGAAATGGGTCTAACCCAAATTTTAGAGCAACCGTATCAAAATCCGAAATTTCCAAGTGAAGCCTTTTTCGAGGGTCTACTTTGGAGGGTCATATCTCCTAGCACACAAATAATTGGGTGGCCCATAACATATCCATGGAAAGCCCTTTGAGTTAGCTACCTAACGCACTTCGTTTCACCTCATTCGGAGTTCGGACGAAGAAGTTATGCCCATTTTCGTAAAATCTGTCCGGCAGGAAATGCAAATTTCCAGTGACCGAAATTACTGTTCACCCGCCTCATTTTTTTTCTAAGTGTTGGACCATTTTTTCCAAAGGACATATATTATTTCCTAGCAATTATAAAACCCTTTTGACCAAAATTCTTCCATTTAAATCACTCCAATTAGGAAGAAAAAAAGAAACTCTCCCTCTCTAAAAAAAAACTCTCTCAAAACCCCATGGAAGCTCAAGGTGAAAGATGGAGCTAGGGTGGATGGTGGCTGCTGATTTCTTCTCTAATTTCGTTTGGTTCTTGAAGAATAAGGTATGGGGACTCTTCATCTTTGATTCCTTCTTCAATCAAAGAGTCAATCCAAAAGATTTCAAAAGTTGTTCAAAAACTCAAAATCCTAATTTCGATTCTAGCATGGGTTCTTGCATTAAATGTTTTTTTTTAATGATGATTTATGTTATTATTGATGGTTTTAAGAAAGGAAATTCCATGAACCCATGTCTTTGCAAATTTCCAAAAGTTGGCTTATGAAGTGGGGTTATTGTTTATGATTGAATGATGATAGAATTATGCTTAAATTGAGTTGAATAGTTGATTTCTATTATTATCTATGTTTATCTATTGTGAATTATTGGAGAGTTGAGGAATGGTGATTGTGGCTTTGGAAAAGGGTAAGTTGGCCTAACTTCATTGTTAATGTAGAATTGATATAGAATTTTGATAGATTGATGTGTGATCCACTTATGGTGGAGGTGTCTACTTATGGAATGTATTATGATTGAGGCCATGAAGGGCATTATATGAGTGTTATTGTATTGTTATATTATTATATATAAATGAGGCTATATGTAAAGTCCTATATGAAGCTATATGTAAAGTTTTATGTGAAGGTATGATGTGAATGAGTTTTATGTGAAGCTATATGTGAAGGTATGATGTGAATGAGTTTTATGTGATCTTGTGATGATCCTATGTAAAGTGGATAGCATTGTGAGTTAAAGTATGATTTCTCATGATGTATATATGAAATGATGTTGGATTATGAAGTATCCTTAAATGAAAATGTGTGTCTTGAATTGGTAGACTTAGGTGCCTCTTCTTGATACATGAAAGCTATGGAATGTGATCTCTTGACTTGGTAGGCTTAGGCATCCTTCTCTTGAGAAATGAATGTATCTTGACTTGAAGTCTTATTGTATTGAATTGGTAGACCTTGAGTTGGTGCCTCTTCATAAATGAATGAATGTCTAAAATCGGTGAGACCTAAGCATGGTGCCCTTTCTATGAATGACTAATGGGGCATTTTAGACTATGACTTGAACCGGTAGACCTAAAGTTGGTGCCCCTTCATGATGAAGTCTAGAACCCTATGTGAATGTAAAACCATGAAATCGGTAGACCGAATGGTGGTAGCCCTTCTCATGTGTGAAATGATGAACCTTGGACCGGTAGGCCTAAGGCACCCTTCCAGGGGGATTTAATGAGCTATCCTTAATGAACCTTGATCGGTAGATCCTTGTGGTGCCCTTCTTGGTAGATGTGCTATGGGTCGGTAGACCTAATGATGGTGCCCTCTCTAGCACATACATGTGAATGAAATTACTCTATGGGAACTAAGGCTAAGCACCGAGTGGATATGGTTAAGATGGTAGCTCTCCCGAGTATGAGGCAAGAGTACAATGAACATCTTTGGATATCCCCTAAACCATGTGCCTACATGGGATGTGTCCTAGTTCTACCCTTGGCAAGTAGAACACCTTCCACGGTGTAGGGTTTTATGACACCGGATTCCATGTCTAGCTCGCATGGTCTATGTCGGTTAATGCCTATTCCCATCATGTGGGATGTGCACTCTAGTTATTGGATAAGTTCTACAACGTGTAGGTAGTAGTATGGGATGCTATCTACACATGGCACGAGTAGGCTTTGAAGATGCTAAAGTGAGTTCCCTAAGCCTTAATGGCTAGTGTATGAAAGTCCTCCAAATACATGAATGGCTCCAAAATGGTTTCTTAAAGAATGTTGGTCTATTGATGTTATGTTGTAAAGGAAATGTCCTTATCTAAGGTAATCTTGGGGAACACTTAAGTGTGCTTGAAGAGGTTGTATGGGCGGTCACTTCTTGTCTCACTCAAGTGTGTCTTAAGATTATATTAGGTAGAGGTCCTATGGTAATGAAATGACATGTGTTCTTTTAAAGTTAAGCATGGATTGTATATGGACATATGTTGAGTATATGTATGGTTGACTATGGTCTTATATGTTAATGTTGACTTGTATTATGTCTCTTATACTTGTGAAGTGAAGGTTTTATCAAAATGATATGAAAGCATTTACTTCCTTGAAAATGTCCTTTTTGGCACGTTTTTGCATGGTCTCCATACTTAGTACTTAATTGTGCTAACCCCTTTCTTTTCCTTTTTGGACTAAAGTGTAGGGATTTGGAGATGATGACATGTCATGGCTTTGATAGGTTTCTAAGTGTTGAAGATGAAGACTTGGTGAGTCCTCATAGATTCGAGGACAATACCCAATATGTTCTTTTATGTCTTTTTAGTATTGTTTAAGTTGTGTACGGGATTAGTCCCGAATTTTGTACTCTAAAGTATTAGATGGTTTGAGACATCATGTATAAAGTCTAGAAAGTCTTCCGCTTGCTATTATTTTTTTTATGCAATGTTTTCTTGGTAAAGAAAGTTTTAAATTCCTTATGGTTTTAGTGTCTATGCGATGAATGAATGCTAAGAGGCTTGTATTAGACCTCTTCGAGGTCGAGTACGCCGGTTACGACTAGGGGGTGCTCCCGGGTCGTGACACATTCATTAAGAAAACAATTACTCACTATATAGGTATTTTATTACACTATCTTTGTAAATGATATTTAATATTAGGTCTTGCAAAATGATTTGGAAAATAAATATTATCTTCTCTTAATATGTCAAAAGTGACAAGTAAAAATAAAAATTATTTTAGAAATAAGTGATAAGTAAAAATGAATTGGGGAAGTAAAACCAATTTCCCCATTAATAAAATATGGAGAAAATAAGAGATAGCCGTCAAGCTTATTTTAAAAAAGGAAGTACTTTTTTTTATTAAAAAAAAGTGAGATATTAGTCAAATTTTTAGGAGAAAATAGGTATATATGGAGAATAGCAAAAGTTATTTTTGAGATGCTAAAAAAGTAAATATTTTTTTCCTAATAACAAAGTTTATTAAAAATTTATTGCTTAAACACATATTATTTACTTTTAAGAAATACTTTTTTAAAATAAGTTAATTTTAAAAACTTGACAATAGGCTATTAATTTTCTTATTATTGTAACAAAAAAAGAATCAGCAAATAGGTTTATTGAGTTAAAGTATTTTTAAAATTTAAATTATATAATATAATTTAATTCGATACAAAAACTAAGTGAACAAGGGATATTTAAAATTTTACGGAGATGCAAATTATGAAAGTTAATGTACAATTTAATTACTAATGTAAATTGAGACGTTACTTTATTCATTTTTTTTTGTAATTAATATGGATATTATAAGAATGTATTCATATTAATTATTATTTTTTGAGAGACGTGTATAATCCAAAATCAACTAGTAAAAAATAACTAAAGGAGTACTAACATTTGCAACATGCTTGTCATTTGTAGTAAAGAAAAATATGTTAATAGTAATGAAATCATATGAAATGAGACCAAAAAAAGTTGACCAACTTTCACGTATAGAAAATATAAAAATTATATTTGTATGTTATAACTATAATTTGCATAATTACGTTTCATAGCAAAATTTATGTTTGCTATGGAGTTTTTGATTTGTATAATTCGATACAAACATTCAATTTTATACAAATTGTTCAGTTTTGTATAAATTCATTTATACATTGTAATTTGTATAATAAGATCTATATTTGTATAATTATAAGTGTATAAGACGAAAATATATGTATTTGTATTTGTATATACACTTTTCTCTCATTTTATACAAACACAAACGCATTTTATACATTTTATACCGAAATGTATAAAATGACTAATTGTATACCGAAAATGACTAATTGTATACCAAATTAAATGGCAAAAAAAGGGGATGTTTGCTGCGAATTACAATTAAAATAAACTATGGTTATAACATTTAATTTGAATTAATAATTTGCTATTTCATACAATTTTCCCAAAAAAGTTTGACAAAAACAAAATTAGACAAATTTTAAATATATAGTATTTGTTTGCCCCACGTAAAGAATTCTAAAACTGGTTGTTTTTTTCTTTAATGACTTCACCTTCTATACGTTTTGATTAAATTCCCCAACAGTTTTGCAATAACTTTGACATATGTTCGTGTAGTTAGGTTCAAA